TTTTCTTTTTTTTTTTTTTTTTTGGTTTTTCGAGAGAAAGGCAATTCTTAATGTACTGACCTGAGATAGCCCCAATGTTGCTCTGTCTCTTGTGAGACATCCATCTCTGCCCCATTTTATAAGATTAGGATATTTGCCCATTCCTTTAGCCTCCTCCCTTCCCTTTCCTGGTTCTGTCCACTCTATGGTTATTCTTCCACTGTTGTGGAGAGTCTTACTATATCCAGGTGACTGAAGGTTGCTAGCCAGCAAGAGGTGTTAGGCCTCTACGTCTATAGTATGGCTGATAGCTAGGCTACCTGGATGATCTATGTTTGTGTTGTTGCCTTTCCTTAATCCAGTGTGATCATCTCAGAATATCTCTAAGGTTTTACTAGCCTCAGGGCAGCTTGACTCCTATTTTCAGTTTTTTTTTTCAATCTTTTTGTTTGTTTTTTGAGACATGGTCTCATATAACCCAGGCTGGCCTTGAAATACTGATCGATCCTTCCAAGTTTCCCAGTTTCTTTTGTGTTTTCTGTTTACTGGAATGTTCTCCCTTGGCCCAGAAACCTCAAGGAAGGTCAAGGTAGTGGCATCCAAAGAGTAGAGAGGCTCTGGAGCTGATCTGGAGTCAGCAATGGGTGCGTGTTGTGGGGGCAGGTTCTAGCAGGAAGGCCATAGGGGCAGAGGGAAGTGGAGGACTTGCCATGGTTATCATTTCAGTAAGAGATACTGTCTAGCCAGATGTCTTTTTTTTTTTTTTGGTTTTTTGAGACAGGGTTTCTCTGTGTAGCTTTGTGCCTTTCCTGGAACTCACTCTGTAGACCAGACTGGCCTCGAACTCACAGAGATCCGCCTGGCTCTGCCTCCCGAGTACTAGGATTAAAGGTGTGCGCGACCACCGCCCGGCACTAGATATCTTGATGTAGACCTGTAATTCCAGCACCAGGAAAGCTGAGGCAAGAGTATTGCCATAAGTTTGAGGCAAGCTTGTGTAACACAGTAATATGTCTCAAAAAAGAAAAGGAAGGTGCTATTTGCACATGAGAGGCACTAAGAGGTTGAGAGGACATTGTTTTGATACAGGATTTTACTCTGTGGCCCATCCTGACCTCAAACTCACAGCAGCTCTCCTGCTTCAGCCTCCCAAGTGCTGGGATTGTAGGCATGAGCCACCATGCCCATCTTGAGAGGAGGATGTGGTCAAACCAAAAATGTGAAGGGTCAGGGTGGCAGGGAGGAACAGGCTCTGGAAATAGATATTGGAGGTGTCTATGGATGATGCTATGAACTGTTGCCTCTATCCTAATGAGGATGGATCAGGAGTGGCTTTAATGTGTGAATCTACTTCACTGAGGTTTGGAGAGCTTGATATCTTCCCCAGAGAATGAATCAAAGAGAACAGACCTTTCTCTGCAGGAGATGGTGTCTACCAGAAAGGGATGGACTTCATTTTGGAGAAGCTTAACCATGGGGACTGGGTACACATCTTTCCAGAAGGTCAGTTGGGTGCTTGGTCAGGGTCCTGCAGCATACATGTTTTCAGGTTCCAAGCCTTGTCTCTATTCTTTCACTAGGGAAAGTAAACATGAGTTCTGAGTTCCTGCGCTTCAAATGGGGTAAGTGTTGCTGGTCAAGCTGACACAGCCAAGTTCCCCATCCAAACATGGCCCTGTGGATCCCTGGCTTCATTCTCCTCTCTGGTGGGTGTATCAGGAGCAGTGGGAAGGGGACAGATGGTGAGTCAAGGACTAGTCTTTAACTGAGAGACAGTAGAAGTGACATTGGCCAGAGATTGGCACGGAAGCTTGGCTCAACTTGTGCCAGTGTTTCTGCCTCTCTCCTAAGTAGGAATTGGACGGCTGATTGCTGAGTGTCATCTAAACCCCATCATCCTGCCACTATGGCATGTTGGTGAGCCAGGGACTGGGGGTAGGGAGGGACTTCCTTAGATGTTTTTAAGGGGATTGTGGGTTGGATGGCTAAGAGAAGTGCCTGGGGCTCTCTCTGGTACACTGCTTCTCCCAATGGCTGGCTTTCTATCCACTGTGCTACAGGAATGAATGATGTCCTCCCTAATAGCCCACCCTACTTCCCCCGATTTGGACAGGTGGGTAGGCACTGCTGATTCTTATCTGTCTATCTACTTGCCTGCTATCTGCCCTGTGTCTCCTAGCCCATACTATAAAGGATTGGTTATTTGCTGAACATAAGCGTGTAGTGGGGGGCTAGGTGGGGCTTTTCTGGAAGCAAGGCCTTTAGAATAGGAATTGAAAATCAGGTGGGGGACAAGGTGGGGCAGGACAGGTGATTGATAGGACGGATCCTAGGATTAGTCTGTCTTTTGGATATCACCAAGCCCAGCTGCCAGTTTTGAAGAGAGAGACAGTGGCTTTCAGGAGCACCAAGCCCATTGGGCAGGGCAAAGCAGGGCTCTGACTCCTCATATTGTTTGAGCTGGAACTATAGGCTCCTTGTCATCCTTGATGGCCTGCCTCCTTACAGAAAATCACCGTGCTGATCGGGAAGCCCTTCAGTGCACTCCCTGTGCTTGAGCGGCTCCGGGCAGAAAACAAGTCAGCTGTGAGTTTCCACCCAAGGTCCCCTAGCTGTCCTTGGCCTTCCCAGCCCCTCAGACTCCCAGGGTACCTCAGCCATGGTCCCTGGGGAGTGCAGGCCAGCACCATCCTTGCTCTCAGGTGGAGATTCGGAAAGCCCTCACAGACTTCATTCAAGAGGAATTCCAGCGGCTGAAGATGCAGGCGGAACAGCTCCACAACCATTTCCAGCCTGGAAGATAGGTTTTGCCTGCCCAGTCTGTGCCCTGAAGTCCTTAGCCAAGGGAGCACTGGATCCTCCAGGGTTTGGGAAGAGGTGGTGCAGGACCCTGCCCAACCCTACTTGGCTCTGTACTGCCTTTGAGATTCTTCTCTGCACAAAACTGAGGCTGGAAGATGAACTCATGGTTTTAACTCAGATAGATTGGCTCATAATCCCTGCTGGATACTCTTTTTTTTGTTGTTTTGTTTTGAGACAGGGTTTCTCTATGTAGCCCTGGCTCTCCTAGAACTTACTCTGTAGACCAGGTTGGCCTTGAACTCATAGTGATCCATCTGCCTGTGCCTCCCAAGAGCTGGGATTAAAGGTGTGTGCCACCATTGCTTGGCCTGGATACCCTTTCTTATCCTCAAGCATCTGGCTCCTCTGGGTCTCCTGGACTAAAAGAAGAGCTTTGGCTGTCCCTCACACTTGGCAGAGAAGGGAGGAAGACTCTTAGGCAGGGGCTGGCCTCCTTCTCACATCTCTCAGGGGCTAGCATTGGAAGGGAGCAAAGCAGGCAGTTGCGAAACTAGTAGGAGAATATGTGTCCTGCCCATAGATGCAGAAAGAGGACCCAAATGGCCCCTTGGATGGACTACCACTTGCCTACCCTTTCCCAGGAACTTCTCACAATCTCCTTAGGGATGGCTGTCAGCCAGGTCAGTCTTCTACCTGAGCTTCTCCTGCTGCAAGGTTTGTCCTTGGGTGGTCTCCAGACAAGAGCAAGTCTTGGCCAGGATTCAAGCCTAGCTAAACTTAACTAGATGTTTTTGCTAGATTGCAGAAAAAGGGCCCCCAAGACCTGACTGTGAATCCCCCAATGTCAGGGCCTACCCACTTCTCTAACCTTTTTGCCTTGACATTCCCTATGTCCTGAGGTCTGGGTTTTCGTGTTTTTAGAGTAATAAAATATTTGTGTTATGCCACTATACCTCTGTCTTCTGTGTAGGAATGCAGATGGGAAGTACCTTGCTGGACAAGAAAACAGGACCCTTGAGCCTGGATACAATGAGATCATTTAAGTAGATGGACATAGGGATTTCACTGTGCTCTGACCACTTGAGACTTCCATTATTAACTTTAAGCCCTATAACAGTGTGGCAGGAGTAGAGATTCATAATGGCGGCAAAACAAGACTAATAAACTAGCTTCAAAACCTCAAGTGAAGTCAGACATGGTAGTACACACCTGTGATCCCAGCACTAGGGAGGCTGAAGCAGGAATATTGCCACATGTTCAAGGTTGGCCTGGGATACTGAGTAAGAGACTGAAAAGAAAAAAAAAATTAAAGTCAAGCATGGGAGGCAAAGACAGGCAGATCTCTCTGAGCTACATAGTGAAATCCTGTCTCAATAGGAAAATTAGGTGTATATGGTGGTACACTCTAATCTCAGCATTTGGGGTGAGTGTGTCTTAGGGTTTCTGTTGCTGTGAAGAGACACCATGATCACAGCAACTGTTTTTTCCAAGATAGAGTTTCTCTGTGTAGCTCTTGAACTCACAGAGATCCATCTGCCTCTGCCTCCTGAGTGCTAAGATTAAAGGCGTGTGTCACCACAGCTGGCCACAGCAACTCTTATAAAGGAAAACATTTAATTGGGGTGGCTTACAGTTTCAGAAGTTTAGTCCATTATCATCATGGTGGCATGCAGGCAGACTTGGTACTGGAGAAAAAGCTGAGAGTTTTACATCTTGATGTGCAGGCAGCAGGAGTCTGTGTCCACACTGTGCATAGCTTGAACATAGAAGACCTCAAAGCCCACCTGCACAGTGACACACCAAACTACCACAAGGTGGGTCTTTGAATTTGAGGCCAGCCTAGTCTACATAGTGCATTCCAGGCTAGCCAGGGCTACACAATGAGACCCTGTCTTGGGAAAGTGGAGTTGGGGGACAATTAAAAATTTAAAACATTTTTCAGAAGGGGAAAACATCACTTTGTGGGGATAGAATACACGTAAAAGCCAACCATACAACTTAGGTCCAAGGGTAACATTGCCTTTTCATGTATTTATTTTGTATATATTTGAGAAATACTAGCTACATTTCTTAAGGAGTTTTGAACTCATACCAATGTTACAATTCCATTTGTTCAAACACACACCCTGGTGGAATGGTGATGCAAGCCTATAATCCCAGCAATTGTAAAGTGAAGTTCAAGGTCTTTAGCTATATAGTGAGTTCAGGGCCAGCTTGGGCTATAGGAGACCTTTTATCAAAAAGAAAAAGTAGGGTCAGCAAGATGTTTGAGCAAGCCTGTCAACCTGAGTTAGATCCCCAGAAACCCGCATGATGGAAGGAGAGAAGGAACTGCCGAAAGTTGTCTCTCATCTGACCAATACATACATACATGCTATGACACTCACATGCCCATATATGTGTGTACACACACAGATGCACACAGGGAATGCTGAAGAAATGGTTCAGCAGTTAAGAATGATTATTGATTTTGTGGAGGACCCAGGTTCTATACCTAGCATCCATGTCAGGGGACTCAACCACCTATAACTCCAGCTCCAGGGGACCCAGTGCCCTCTCTGGCCTCCATGGGCACCTACACACAAACATACACATAAATAATAAAAATAAATCTTAAAAAATAACTTAAAATACTGCCTCCTGTGTGCTAGGCAAGCAGTCTACTACTGAGCTACACCATGTGCTTTAAATACAGGCTATTTTTGAGTATGGTCTTACAGTCACAACAAAATTAGTATATTGAACTTCTACCTACCCCATATACCCTGCACATATAGTCTACCCTACCACCAGAATTTTGTACTAAGACACATCTGTCACATGGATGAACTCACATAACATATCTCCCTGAGTCCATAGTTTATTTATATAGGTATAGTCTATCATGTGCCCACCATTATTGTAGCTTTACTACCATAAATACTATACTCTTTTTGTTTTGTTTTGTTTTGTTTTTCGAGACAGGGTTTCTCTGTGTAGTTTTGGTGCCTGTCCTGGATCTCACTCTGTAGACCAGGCTGGCCTCGAACTCATAGAGATCTGCCTAGCTCTGCCTCCCAAGTGCTGGGATTAAAGGCGTGCGCCA